GCCCCTCCTCAGAGCCCCCCGCCCCTGCTCAGAGCTCACGCCTCAGCACAGCAACTGCAGCCGCAGCACGGATGCCACGGGCTGGGCTCTGACTTCCACACGACCACAGGCAGTTACCGCAGTGATGCCCACAGAGCCCTGTTGTTTGTTGTTTACTGTTTACACACGTGGACACAGACTCAAACGTTTCCAAACCACTCAGCTTGAGCACCGAACCGCAACCTGAAGCCCATTTTCTAACAATAAAACATTTAAAAAAGAAAAGAAAAAGAAAACAAATCCACAAGTGCGGCCGCGTCCTGTCCTGCTGCAGCCCTGCCCAGCTGTCGTCACACGTGGAGCCCCCTGAAGTCTGCGCACCAGCCGCGGCTCTACTCTCTTCTTCCACCCGACGCTTCCCTCCCGCGGCTTCTCCCACACTGTCCACATCTCCACAGGGAACAGAATCCTGGGTGGGGTGAGCGCTGTCATCCATCACTGAGGGTGGAGGGCCCAGGCCACAGGGCCGCCTGCCCGCTCTCCCGCAGGCCCGCTGCTCTAAACGCGGTGCTGAGCGGGCAGGGAGCACGCCGGGGTGAGGGCATGTCCCTGGGTCCCCTCGCCCCTTTGGAGGTTCCCCTAGAAGCCCAGGGCGCTGCCCGGCAGCCTGCTGCCTCTGCGGGCAGGAATCCTGGTAGGTGGGCGGGGGGTCAGGAGCCGGGGTGCACGGAGCAGAGTGCTCAATTTACTACCTGAGGGTTTTCCCGGGTCTCGAACATGGACAGTCCTGGCCAAGAGCAGGTCAGGGGGACGCACCTCTGAGGCCGCAGTGAGGCTGGCGGCCGTGAGCCTGACCGCCCGCCCCCTCGGCTCACAAGCCAGGCGGGCTCCTTGGCTACCTCCCACCTGAGGGACTTGTGGGCTGTTTCATGTCCTGTGCCGACGTGGGCCTTTCCCGTGTCCCCTCGACCATGTGAGCTACAGCCCAGCCTCCTACAGCGGGTCCGCGCCTGGAAGCTGCTCTGTGAGGTGCTGTCCCCCAGGCCAGCATCCCTGCCCGCTGCAACACCGCGTCAGGCTCTCCGCCGAGGCCTCCTGGGCCTGGCGATGGATGGGCGCCCCGGTGGAGGCCCTCAGCATCTGCAGGCGGGTCTGCTGCGACCCTCCCAGCTCAGCCTTGGCCCCCCTCTGCGGTGGACGCGCCCCTCACATCCTGGGAGCTGGCCGCTGTGTCCACGTGCACCCCGCCCTCAGCTCACTGCTCCATTCCCGAGCTCCTGGCTGAAGTTGTGCTTGGAGCTGTTAGCCAGATGCCCTTTTGAATGTTGAAAGCATTCAAAAGATCAGCTTTTCCAAAGAGTGAGGGAGCAGGGAGAGGAAATTATGGCATTTGTTTGAAAGGCTCTGCGAGCTTTATTTAGCTCACACGGTTCAAAGAGCGCCTCTTGTTAATCAGGAGAAGACTCTGGCCTCCCTGGGGTGGGCACCGGGCTTAATTGGAACCCAGGCTGTTTGAAGTCCCTTTAATCCTGCCGGAGCGGGAGGGAGAACGTGTAGGCAGCCACTGTAGATCTGAAGTTTCTTCATTCTATTTGCATGTGTCTGGGGAACCATGTAATTCGTTTCCCTGAAAGAGTGAGGCCGGTGGCTGGCTGCTGGACACAGTGAGGCCTGGGCTTCATTAGGCTGGAGCGGGAGGCCGACCCCGCTCGGCGGCATTGGTCCCTGCACGGCGCGGTCGGGCCCGCTGCAGATGGCGGCCAGGATCTGGTTTGCTGGTGCCGACGTCCGCAAGCAGAATCCACCCGTGAGAGCTGTGGCTGTGCGGCCTCGTAACCCTAGCGGTCCTGACAGTCACAGCGTGGGCTCCAGGGCTCCGCTCCCACGAGGACTGCGCAGTTCTCCAGCCTCAGGCCTCACTGGCCGGAGATGTCACTGGTCACTGTCGCAGGCTCGTCTTTCTCATGGACCTGTGGGCAGGCCTGCAGCCAGAGAGCCAGGCCCCGCTGCTGGGCCCAGTCTGACCACAGAGGGGTGCGCAGCA